TCTCTCTCTCTCTCTCTCTCTGTCTCATTGTGTCATACGGATTACTGTTAATTTATTATGCTGATCTGTTCTGTACGACATCTATTGCACGTCTGTCCGTCCTGGAAGAGGGATCCCTCCTCAGTTGCTCTTCCTGAGGTTTCTACCGTTTTTTTTCCCTGTTAAAGGGTTTTTTTGGGGAGTTTTTCCTTATCCGCTGTGAGGGTCCTAAGGACAGAGGGATGTCGTATGCTGTAAAGCCCTGTGAGGCAAATTGTGATTTGTGATATTGGGCTTTATAAGTAAAATTGATTGCTTGAATTGATATATATACATATATAATTTCTAAAGATTTCTGCAGGGGGAAATACCCCTGAGGGTATTGTCAGGGCACCCAAGGGCCCTTATAAAGTCTCAAAATGCATTGAATATAATAAACTAGAAATAAGGCCTTAATTCATATTAAAATGTGTTAAATCATTTTGTCAAAAGTCTTAAAATGCTCAGACATGGGAAGTACAATTTTATGATTTTTTTCCAGTGGAGGTGTAGCATGTAAAATGTCAAACCAATTAATATGATCTATTTTTTAAATGTAATTTACAGAATGCCTGTCACATTAACATCACACAGATCAGAATTGAACAGCATGAGGAAGTGCACACAAGGCTCTGTGTATTATATGCGAAAAGTTTTTTAAACTCAGAATGATAAAGGCAATAAAGGCAGTAGAATCCCACATGTAGAGTAAGAAACACAAAATCCCCCCCAAAGAACGTCAGGTGTTTCCCAGTTCTGTTTGACCCTTCTCTGCTCCACAAGACAAAAAATGGAGTTTAATGTTACAATAAACATTTAGACCAAATTGTCCCAAATGCAGCTTATGTTTTTTTTTTTAATTAATTATTGTAATACTGGTCTTACGTTTAATTCCAAGTGGCATTAAAAACTCCTAAAAGCTCTTTAATCTAACTTGCCTTCAGCTATATGAACCCTGATTGTACTTTTCCTGCATTGCATTCGTCAAACAGCTTCAGTTACTTTTTCATCCCTTTCCTGTACAGTAAAAACCATGCATCTCCAGATTGGAGATTTTAAATGTTTGTGATAAACTAAAGGATGAAGTGCATCATAATAGTGTTCTGATAAGAGTTCAACAATACATCAGTGTACTGTAATAAAAGAATATAAAACATATAAAGCACTTGCCTGCCACAATGAGCAGAAGTGTGTCCATCTTTGTCTGCTGCTCTCTGTTTGTGCTCTGCTTCAGACTTGTGGCTGCTGATATACCTCTTTGTCACACCTAAACATCTCACAGTAACTCACTATCATTTCACGTCATGAAAGTTAGTTATAGGGCCACAATTTTGAATATCCAGGATAATCTCTGGCACCCATCACAGACTCAGAAACAAAGGACAAAGCAGCCAAATGCAAATTAAAATGTGCATCAAAAGACGTGTTGTCCTGAGCTCACGGTAACGTTTCAGTGGGAACAACTGGACTGGATTTCTGGTCCTGATCACCTACAGCATATTTATTCATAGTGTTGATACAGACAGGTGAAGCAATGAACGTTCCAAAAAACCTGAGACTTTACAGTTTATCCATAGAAATAAAATGAGGCGCATTTTACTGAAGAAGGTGGGACACCATCTAAATCTTAAAGTAGACATAGAGCTAATCTGCGTCTCTGTGGTTGGAGCAGTTTTTGTGTCTCTTTGTGGTCATTTTTCACCTTTATGTTAATTTTGTGTCTCTGTGATTGTTCTGCATCTTTTTGTGAACTTGGTGTCTTTTTTGTTTTTTTTTGTGTCTCTTTGTGGTCATTCTGCACCTTTGTGTTAATTTTGTGTCTCTTTGTGGACTTTCTGCACTTTTGTGTTAATTTTGTGTCTTTGTGATTGTTCTGCATCTTTGTTGTAGCAGTTTTGCATCTCTTTGTGGTCGTTCTGCACCTTTGTGTTAATTTGTGTCTCTTTGTGGTCCTTCTGCAATTTTGTGTTAATTTGTGTCTCTTTGTGGTCGCTCTGCACCTTTGTGTTAATTTTGTGTCTTTGTGATTGTTCTGCATCTTTTTGTGAACTTCGTGTCTTTTTTGTTTTTTTTTTGTATCTCTTTGTAGCACTTTTGTGTCTCTTTGTGGTCGTTCTGCACTTTTGTGTTAATTTTGTGTCTTTGTGGTTGTTCTGCACCTTTGTGTTAATTTGTGTCTCTTTGTGGTCCTTCTGCAATTTTGTGTTAATTTGTGTCTCTTTGTGGTCCTTCTGCAATTTTGTGTTAATTTTGTGTCACTTTGTGGTCGCTCTGCACCTTTGTGTTAATTTTGTGTCTTTGTGATTGTTCTGCATCTTTTTGTGAACTTCGTGTCTTTTTTGGGTTTTTTTGTATCTCTTTGTAGCACTTTTGTGTCTCTTTGTGGTCACTCTGCACCTTTGTGTTAATTTGTGTCTCTTTGTGGTCCTTCTGCACTTTTGCATTAACTTTGTGTGTCTTTGTAGCCCTTTCCGCACCTTTGTGTTAATTTTGCGTCTCTGTGGTTGTTCAACATCTTTTTTGTAGCAATTTTGCGTTTCTTGGTGGTTGTTCTCCACCTTTTTGTGAATTTCGTGTCTTTTTTGGTTATTTTGCATCTCTTTGTGGTCGTTTTGCATTTTTGTGTTAATTTTGTGTCTCTGTGGTTGTTCTACATCTTTGCTGTAGCAGTTTTGCGTCACTTGGTGGTTGTTCTGTACTTTTGTGTGAATTTTGTGCCTTTCATTGGTCGTTTCGTGTCTCTTTGTAGCACTTTTGTGTCTCTTTGTGGTTGTTCTGCACCTTTTTGTGAACTTCGTGTCTTTTTTGGGGTTTTTTTGCATCTCTTTGTAGCACTTTTGTGTCTCTGTGGTTGTTCTGCACCTTTGTGTTAATTTTGTGTCTCTTTGTGGTCATTTTGCATTTGTGTGTTAATTTTGTGTCTCTTTGTGGTCTTTCTGCACTTTTGTGTTAATTTTGTGTCTTTGTGATTGTTCTGCATCTTTGTTGTAGCAGGTTTGCATCTCTTTGTGGTTGTTCTGCACCTTTGTGTTAATTTTGTGTCTCTTTGTGGTCCTTCTGCAATTTTGTGTTAATTTTGTGTCTCTTTGTGGTCACTCTGCACCTTTGTGTTAATTTTGTGTCTTTGTGATTGTTCTGCATCTTTTTGTGAACTTCGTGTCTTTTTTTTTTTTTTGTATCTCTTTGTAGCACTTTTGTGTCTCTTTGTGGTCGCTCTGCACCTTTGTGTTAATTTGTGTGTCTTTGTGGCCCTTTCTGCACCTTTGTGTTAATTTTGTGTCTCTGTGGTTGTTCTGCATCTTTGTTGTAGCAGTTTTGCATCACTTGGTGGTTGTTCTGTACTTTTGTGTGAATTTTGTGCCTTTGATTGGTCGTTTCGCGTCTCTTAGTAGCACTTTTGTTTCTCTTTGTGGTTGTTCTGCACCTTTTTGTGAATTTTGTGTCTTTTTTGTGTGTTTGTGTGTAAAAAAAAAAAAAAAAATAAAAAATTGTCTCTCCTTCATTGCACCACCTCCTCTCCTCATAAATAACGAACAGTCCCCATGTGTTAATTGTATTTTAGATAAGAGAGTGGGTAAATATGTCTGGAGCAAGAAACTACAGAAGCCCCTTACAGACCACGCCCCCTGCTTCAAGTCACGCCCCTCGCGTCACGCCCCTCTCCTCCTCTGAGCTGACACCGAGCATCAAACCAGCTGACGGGCTCAGATTTTACCGTTTACCGGCCGGTGTTTCAGCCTCCTCTGTTGTCTCTTCTCCTCTCATTGAACCGTTGGATGTGTTTTTTGCGGGATGCTAACATGTTGTGATTCACCCTGCAAGCGATGAATGAAACGAGCACCGAGGGGACCACCGGACCGGCGGAGGTTCTGCTGACTTCGGGCTGCCGAGCCCCGCTCTACGGGCTGGTCGGAGGATGGAGCCGAGGCTGAGCGGGGATGGCAAGCCGTCCGTGTCCTGGTTCCTCGGCCCTGCCCTCGTCCTCTCCATCCTGGCTGTGTTAGTGAGCTGCCACGGGACGTGCAAGCACCGAGTCCCGTCTCCCGAGGAGGTGAGCCCCGGTGTATCAACCGAGCTAACTCAGCTAGCTGCAGCACTGTGGCAGCGGACGGGATAAGCTAGTTAGCACGTTAGCCGTGGTGCCTAATTAACGTATCTTTTATATTGTGTGATAAGATTAACTACTTCGCTGTGTCCCTGTATTTTTGAATGTATTTTGTACGCCCATTAGAGCTAACCCTGATGTGAAATATTTGTTTCTGACCAACATATTCAGTTAGCTGCCTAAATCAGATTTGCTATACAGTTAGCTGACAAGCTAACAGGCTAACAGGAGGCTACTCATAATGTTTACAGTGTTTACTGACAATAACCATAATATCTGTGTCTGTCAGGGACATTTAAAATAAAGTAACTGAGTTAGGAGTTCACCATTCATCATTCATTCATCATTATAAGTGTTCACCATTAGCCTGTTTCCCTAGCAACAACAAAAACTACACTTCCGGCTACATCTCTTCAGAATAAAAGTAAACAACTGAAGTTTAGCACCAAAATGCGTCAAAATGCAGTATGTGGCATGCCTTAGCTGCCCAAATTCATCAAAAATATGTCATCATTTGTTTATAGTACGTCTCCGCCAATTTGAAAATGCAGAGTCAAAGGAAACAGAATCAAAATCAGCTTTATTGATCAAGTATGTGTGCACACAGTGAATCTGACTCCAGTTTCAAGTTTATCTCAATGTGTATTCACAGAAACAGACATGCAGTTAAAACGAGGACAAAAAAGCTAAACAATGGCAAAACCTAAACATTGAACTTTTATATACAGAGTGCTTGTTGTACAATTTAGTAGTTTCTGTGGTAAAATTAATCTAAACTTTAAAGCCACACATTGAACTACTCGTGAAAAAGCTGAAACTGAACCTGGTTTTATTTTAGAAATAGAAACTGCTTCTCCTTCTTGGCCAAAAAGAGAGACATTCTTGAGTGTGCGTGATTATGGGGGTGTGTTATATATGAGTGCACCCTCCCACTGTTTGCATGCTCTGGCCTCTGTGTGCCATGGTGCATTGAGATTTATTACCAACTGTAAGCCTCTAACTCATCACTATACCCTGTCTGGCCAGGTTGGCTGGCTCTCTTTACAATTTCATCGACTTTTTCATTGGCGTTCTCTTTTATACAAAGCTTTTCTTGGCCTACAGCCAGTATATTTATGTGTGTACATTAAGCAGAGAATTGAAAATGCCTCTGCTCTCGGTTCACAGAGCATGTTTCTATTGTCTGTACTGAGGGTATGTACAGAGTTTTGTAAGTGAGCTTTATGTATGCAGCTCTTTATATGTGGAATCTTCTGCAGAAGGACTAGTTGCACTCAGTGGTTCCTCTCGGCTGTTTTTCATTTCTAGTATATATTAACATACTTTTTGGCTTTTCTTGTAGTGTTCTTATTTTGTGTTTTATACTGCTTGTTTGAAAGCTTTGAATTTTTAATCAGTATTTTTGTTCTCTGTTTTTTGTCTGTAACTTTGTGTTGTTGCCTGTCTCGGCCAGTACACTCTTGAAAAAGACATTTTTAATCCTGAGGTTTTTCTGGTTAAATAAATAAATAAATTGAATTTTTCACGTGTTGTATATCAACGGAGATGTGCAACTATTTTAAACTGTTTTCGTAAGGATTCATTGGGTGCTGTTAATTTGACAGACAGAGAGGTGGTTGTGTGCACTTCTCATTGTCTACTTAGGCCGGATGCAGGACAACAGATTTTTTAAAGCACAATGGCTAATAGTTGCCAAAATGGTTTTATTTAACTGAAAAACATCACGCTGAAGTCATTATTCATGCATTTCATGAAAGGACTGGATGCATGCTCAAGATAAAACACCTTAGCTGTGCTGGAAACAATCTAAAAAATAGTCAGGGTACTTCCACAGAATATATCTCAAAAGTATTTTAATCATTTGTAGATTATTTGTTGTAAAACATACATTACTGAAAGAAATAAAGAACGAATTAAGAACAACACAAGACAATAAAAATTTTATCATTCTTTAACAGGCCAAACTTAAGCAGGGTCAACTGAATAACAGAGACAACTCTCTACAGCATCCAGTGATCTTACCGTTAGTTAATTAGTTAAGAACATTTCAGCCTTCATGAAGGAGGATTTATTACAGGACTGCTTTAGTTTTAGCTGAGTGTACCTAATAAACTGGCAGCTGAGTGTATTTTGCTGTTGGTGTGTAAAATCACTTGTACAGATTATATTCATATTATCCATCCTGAACCTGGAATGCTTCGTAAATGTATAAAACACTTGATGTGAATGTGTGTGGTTTATCATTTCTCTGTGCTTCTTTCAGGTTGTCCATCATGTGTACTTGAAGCCTGAGCGTCTGACGAAGAGAAGCTCCCCAGACGACCTCCAGCTGAAGATAAAGATCATCTACGACTACAGCGTTGACCAGTAAGTCCTGCAGCAGATCACAACGATGTTAAAGCTGCAGTTCGAGATTTGAGAGTTTAGGGACCAATTTTTTTCCCACTCTGTGACTACAGTATTAAAGTGTAGGTGACGGGATGTTCTCTGTCTCCACAGGCTTCCTGCAGACAAGAGGAGACTGGTAAAGGTGAGGAGCACTTGACATCTTAGGCCCTGATTACACAAAAAGTGTTTCAGCAGCTGAAGGCAGTTTTTTTTTGTTTTCGTGTCTTGCATTACTGCGCTCCAGGTGCCTGGTGTTTTTGCTGGAGCGCTCTGAATTCCTCAAGTTGAAAAAAAATCAACTCAGAGCGAAAAAGCGCCCTACATCATCTCTGTTTTTTTTTGTTTTTTTTCCCCACATTGTCCAATCGGATGATTTGAGAGGCGGGCCTTCTGTGGTGGTCAGAACAAGTTGGCAGCGGTTGCTGGATACCCAGAGCTATAAGACTTTACAAACAGCAGTTATCACCATCTTAATACAAAACAGCAGGCTTGGAAGCAGATAAGTGCAGTACTTGAAACGGCCATCATGGAGACGAAGCTCCTTGACCAACTGGTGGTACTCCCCATGATCCAGTCTCTTTTTTAGGGTCTCATGTACCCACACAGATCTTTGTTTATCTGCTGACAGCCTCTCACCCTCAACCAGAGCTACAGACAGTACCCTCTGACTCAACGTTGTAGGACCTAGATACCAATTACTGTGAAATAAATAAAATAAAGAACATAATCAATAAACGGTAGACTGATTACACAGGAAGGTTAGGTTATTTGGGTAGTTAAAGTTTTCTCATTGGCAGCATCTAGTGGCCGTCAAAGGAACTGCAGCTCAAAGCACATCAGGGGTTTCTGTTGGCTCATTGTGATTGTTGTTTGCCTCCTGCTTTGGGCTCTTTGTACTGACCTGCAGGAGTTGAAGCTCTTACCTTGCTGCAGTGATGCTGAATCGACTTAAACTGTGTTTCCTCCTCAGGATAAGCTGTTTCCTCAGGCCATCGATTACCTGCAGAGAGCCTTCAGTGTGAGGCGCAGGGTGGGTCCTGTGCTGCTCAGCAGGTACTTGGCCTGTCCCATCATGATGTTTAAATCTCTAACACAAACTCTTATGAACAGATTTGTTCTTAAAGGTTTGAGAAAGGCTTAACTTGTCGTCTGAAGAAGCTGCTCAGTTAAGTGCTTTTTGTCTCTGTCATCTCAGACAATGCGCAACCAACCAGTACCTGAGGAAGAGAGATGACCCTCATCGCTACTGCCAGGACGCCTGTGCAGACGTCACCCGGTGTGGCCCTGTCGTCGTACCTCAGCACCACCTGCAGGTCAGGAAGCGCCACAGATGATGGATAATGCAATTATTAAAACAGCCTTCTCTGAGCTTTTAAGAACAAAATTCCAAGTTGTTACGCTGTGGACATAACAACATTTTAGGCCAACTATTCATAGCTGTGGGAGTGATTTTGAGTTTTTTGTGCCCTCTGGTGGTTTAAAGTCACAAATTGCTACACATTTAAAGACAATAGAAAGAACTGGACATCATCATGGGTCAGTTTCAATATAACTGACTCAAGCATAGCATATACGGAGAGAACAAAAATGGACCTAAGATGGATCCCTGTGGGACACCACAGGAAAAAAAGGGCACAGCCAAAGATCTGCAGATGGAGTGTTTTCTGAACCAGTGAAGTATTTTAATGCTAAACCATTTTAAGGGGTGCTCAATGATGACAGAGTGATCCATATTCTCAAAAGCAGATCTGGGATTATGGAGGATTGAGTGATCTTTAATTGAAGAACAACAAAAGGAAAAACACTAAAAAGAGGAGGCAGGATTAGATGGACTGATGAGGGAGGGACGGGCAGTGTGGAAGGTTGAAAGGATAAAAGAAGGCTATTGTCAGGGTGGTAATCTCATTATGGTTATTGTAGATGCTGAGCAGGAGCTAACAATAGTGCCTCGACCTCTCCTTCTGCTGTCTGCTTTTACTACTGAACATGTGAGGCTCATAGTCCAAAATCTGAAGGTAAAACTTCACCTCAGAAAGGATGAATACATGCAGAGTTTGTTGAAAATGTAACTTATGCTTTATAATGTGTAAAAGGTTTGTCTGTCCCTCTGCAGAGGAGTTTTATCTTCAAATTTGGGTCTGTTAATAAAAACACTCAAAAACCAACAGGACATCAAACAGGTTACCTTAGGGCAAACAGACTGAATCAGAAAGGTCGACTGGAAGATATGACTGTGCAACATCTGCATAAAAATGACACATTTACATTATGTTCATTAATTACATGACTTACTTTGATACTTTACCTGTGTCTTTGCTCACTCTTGTCATGTGTATTTCCCTCTTAGCAATGCAAGGTGTGCAGTGAGTCAGGGAAGTCCTGTGGCCCCCTGGGGCCCCCAGATAGCCCCGGAGTGGAAGGGTCCGACTTTGTGCTCTACGTCAGCGGCATCACCACAGAGCGCTGTGGGCAAGAGAACATAGTGGCCTACGCTGCTTACTGCCAGCTGGAAGCAGAGCTGGACAGGTGGGGAGGACGCCATCACGGCATTTGTTCATGTTCATGTTTCTTCAGTAAATTTGGTGATGTACTGTAGCTGATTGTAGCCTGAAATGTTTTTTTTCAATGTTCCACTTCTGGTTTTGTCTTTAAACTTTAAACATAAAACCTTTGGGACAAAAAAAAACTATGAGAATCAGATGGTTGACAGAAAGGTAAAACTTTTCATATAGAAATGAATGTGAGGCTTATCATTGTTGTGGACAAACTGTCCTGTAACCTTCCCTGTGATTCCCACGTGTGTGTCCTCAGACCTATAGCAGGCTATGCCAATCTGTGCCCTGCCATGATCTCCTCTCAGCCTCAGGAGTTTGAAGGGATGCTGTCCACAGTCAAACATGAGATCATCCACGCTCTGGTCAGTACAACAACATGTTTTGTGTACTTCATGGTGTAAAGTATTTTCAGCTGAACCATGACAGATAACACTGGATTGTTTTAAACAGAGATCTGTAACCCTCACTGGATTTTAGGAGCTTTGTTTACAGTTTGTGCAGCTTCATAGAGATATTGACAAAGAATGGTCTCACCTGAGAGGGTTAGTTGGTGAACCACTGCAGACAGTGAGCTAACTGCTAACATGCTATCCATCTATTCTTTTTACTGTTTTTATTTTCTCTGTACTGGACTGCTTATTTTTTCTGACATTTAATTCTCTGGATTGTTCAACTTTTTCTTCAGTTAAGAGTTTATAAAGGGGACAGTTCGTTATTCACCAACAGTGTGATTTTGTCTGTGTGTGCTGTTTCTCTTCTGACAACCAGGGGTTCTCAGCTGGTCTGTTTGCCTTCTACCACGATGACGAGGGCAAACCTCTGACTCCTCGATTCACCAGCGGCCTGCCCGCCTTCAACGAGAGGTGAAGACACTTTGTGTTTCAAGATCTTCATTGTAGTGTGCACACTAATCGGGTTTCCATCTTAATGCAGCGCAAATTGATAAATAAAAGATTTGCAGCGAGACGAGTTGAAACAGGCGACTTCTAAAAACCCGCTGGTTCACACCAAGTCAACGAGATGAGACGGTGTATCATCTCTAGTCAGCAACTCTGTACTTCTGTTCTGATTTGCAGCTTTTCAGACTTATTTTGTGGCTGAATATAATTTGTAACTTCTTAAAATCTGAATGAGGATAGTGATAGTGAGATGCTGGCTACAGTGATGAAATAAAACCAGCATCAGATGGACTGTATTCAAAACAATACGCCACAATAATATAAATAACCAGCACCAATTCATCAGTCAATGAGAATGTGTGTGTGTGGGCGGGGCATAAGCACATACAGAGAGCAATGTCTGACACTGGCACACTGTGAGGACGGTAACAGAGGGCTCGGTGGGGACGGAGCACCTGCTGCAGCAAGCAAATACGCCGTCTGTGGTCATTTTCACTACAAGCTGACTGGCTGTTGAAACAGTTGACGTGCTTTACATTCTAAAACCAGCTGCTGGCGATTTGACCAGCTGAGTTACAGATGATGTCATCAACCGGCTTGAGTCGAGCTCAGACCTGCCAGTTCACACTGCTGCTACTTTTCTCTGCAACGCTCAGCGGTTACATCTCATCGCAAATCTTTGAACCTGTGTGTGTGTGTGTGTGTGTGTGTCAGCCTGGGTCTGTACCAGTGGAGTGAGGCAGTGATCAGGAGGGTCAGCAGGCTGTGGGACATCAGAGGAGGAGTGATGGTCCGACACCAAGTCCACGTCCTCGTCACTCCCCGAGTCGTGGTGAGAAACACATTGTGTCAGTCGTCTTCACTAGAGTAATAACCCTAAAGTCCCACTACATGCAGAAATGTATTTTTTTTTCTTGGTTCCAGGAGGAGGCGAGGAGACATTTTAACTGTCCCATCTTGGAGGGGATGGAGCTGGAGAACCAGGGAGGGACAGGGACTGAGCTGAACCACTGGGAGAAGAGACTGCTGGAGGTAAACACACACCACCTCTCTGTGTCTCTCTCTGTGGGACTGTAGTTCATGTTTCCTCCTTGTGTTCATCATCACCTTCTGTCGGTCCCTCAGAACGAGGCGATGACGGGCTCCCACACTCAGAACCGGGTGTTTTCTCGGCTGACGCTGGCCATCATGGAGGACAGCGGCTGGTACCGAGCCAACTACAGCCTGGCTCAGAGGCTGGACTGGGGCCGCGGCCTCGGCTGTGACTTCGTCATGAAGAGCTGCAAGTTCTGGATGGACCGACAGAGACAGAGGTCACAGTGATACTCAGAATAATAACTCTCGTGATCACAAAGAATATTCACTTGTTTTAAAGCTCACAGTTCCAATCAGACTCTTTAAAGTACAGATGTCCTGGTCAGGTGTTTTTGAACTTTGAATTCTTTAATTTAATCATAATAATAATACATTGGATTAATATAGCCCTTTTCTGGACACTCAAAGAATCTGAATATGAAATGTTTGTGTGGTGTTTGTTGGTGCAGACGACACTCTGTGACTCCGTACTGTGACACAGTGAGAGCGTCTCCTCTGCAGCTGACCTGCAGACAGGACCAGCTGGCTGTGGCCGTCTGCAACCTGCAGAAGTACCCACAGGAGCTGCCGCTGGAGTACCAGGTACACACATAACCATACACACACCCAATACAAGGAAAAGTTTCTTTCTAGCACCAAAACATGCAGAACCCCCAAAACCTCAGATCCTGCAGATGGCTGATGTTGGCTGGATTTGTATTGTTCCATCTCGCCTTAGGCTTGTCACCCATGATTGTTTTTTAGGGCTGCCCGTGACTAAGAATATTCCTAGTTGACCCGTAGTCATCAGGGCCACTAGCCGACTAGTCGCCCGCATGAGCTGGGACTAGTGAATGTTTGAAATTCTTTCCAGAGAAAATGACGATTGATCGATTACAAAATTAGCTGCTGATTTAATTATCTAGAGGAATCTGTGAATTGTTTCAGCTCCACTGTGACGTACTCAGTGCTCTGTAAACTTTACTACTACTCTACTGCCTGTTGATACACTGTGTGTGCTTCTGTGTGTGTGTGTGTGTCAGTACTTTGAGAGGATCCCTGAGGTGTCCTCGGATGAGCTGTCGATGTTTGGCGGCGCCGTGGAGATCGCTGACTTCTGTCCCTTCAGTCAGGAGTTCAGTTGGCACCTGAGCGGAGAGTATCAGAGGAACTCATACTGCAGAGTGTCAGAGAACCAGCCAGGTGACCGCCACAGTCACACCACTGTTACTATGGTTACCACTAACACCATGTTGTTTAGATGTCAGTGAGCTCGACTTGAACTGTTTCATCTGGTGTGTTGTCCGGCCATGTTTAAAGGAAACAGGGTTTGTAACTGAGCCGACACGCTCCATTATAAAGTTAAATAATCATTTAAATATTATATTATTTAGACGACAGAAAGGAAGAAGTTGGGCCGAAGCATACTGACATCATCACTGTCAACATCATCAGTCTAACTGAGAGCTCAGAGGAGAACTGTGGAGGAATTTCTCAGTAAAGTCTGTATGAACAGTGAAATATTTCTGTGTGTGTGTTCAGACTGGTGGAGGAACTACGGAGCAGAGCAGTACGGACCGGACTCCGTGTGCCTGTACCAGAAGTCCGCCTTTGTGATGGAGCAGTGTACCAGGAAGATGACGTACCCTGACTGGGGCTCCGGATGCTACAAGGTGTTTTCTCTAAGTCTGATGTTTTTCTATATCATCAGACTGCGTCCACTCGGAGCTGTGTGAGTTTTAAAATGCTGTCGTGGTCTCCAGGTGTGGTGCTCGGCTCAGGGCCTGACGGTGTTCGTTCAGGATCGCTCCTTCGTCTGCGTCCGGAAAGGTCAGCTGCTGAGCGTCAGCGTGCGAGTCAACGACTGGGTTTACAACGGCGTCCTGATCTGCCCCGCCTGCACCGACTTCTGTGACGACTGCCCCCTCCCACACCAGCTCCCGCCCATCAACTCCTCCAGGAGTCACCCCATTGGTCAGTTCCACCGTCCTCTTTTTACAGCGGTGCACACAAAGTGTTCAGCTGATGCTTCGATAGGCTTTTTCTTATTGGTGGTCATCAGTAGGTTAATGAAGCCAGAATTTTCTCAACACACTGTCGGCAAGGCAGTAATGATTGTGCTAAGTGGCTAATGGGCATGTAGCTACTTCCATGTTTCAGATGATTCGTCATGTTTGTAGTCGACCAATGAAGATGAGTTTACATCAGTGAAATCTTTCAGACAAATGATCTTTTTGGTCGACTATCAGGGGGCAGCCCTACTAATTAATTGATCAGTGTGGGTACATGAGACCCTAAAAAAGAGGCTGGATCATGGGGAGTACCACCAGTTGGTCCAGGAGCTTCTACTCCATAATGGACGTTTACAGGCAGATTTTCGGATGACTCAGGCAGTTTGACAACCTGCAGTCTATCGACGGGCCATATAGCTCTGGGTATCCAGCAACTGCTACCACCAGTTTCTCCTCCATTGTTTACCAACTGTAAACTTCTAAACTTGTCATGACCACCACAGAAGGCCCGCCTCTCAAATCATCCGATTGGTCAATGGGGAAAAACTGGAGATGACATGGGGCGCTTTTCCATTTTGAGTTGAAGTTTTTTCAATATTCAGCTTTGGTGGAATAAAATGAGTTTTGTTCACATGTTTATGTGATTCTGTTTGTTTGTTTCAGACCCGTGCTCCAGCTCTCCAGGTCTGGCCATCACTCTGTGGCTCCTGCTGCTCAACCTGCTCCCCCTGGTGGCCGGACTGCTGCTCTGCCACTGCAGCTGATAAAACACACTTAACACACACTAAACAGTGAGGTAGCTTAACACTCATCTGGAGTCCTCTGAGAATCTGGACCACACATCTTTATTTCCTCACTCTGTCCTTTTCCTTCTCCTCCCTGTTTCCTTCCTCTCTCTTTCATTCCTACTGTGAGTTCTTCTTCTTAGTTTCCTCCATCATTCCCTCCTCAGGACCTCCTCTCCTTCATTCCTCAGCTCATCTCATCTCTAACTCTGTCAGGGATCTTTCTGCTGATCATGACTGGATGATATCGGTCTTTTTATCGGCTCGTGTTGCAGCTGGTTCCACAGCTCTCCAGCTCCCGATCATCCTGCTTCATCACAGCCAGTTTTATTCCTTCGTGCTGCAGTGACAGAGGATCAGAAGATCTGTCCTCTGCTGATCTTTCCTTGCTTGAATACATGTGAGGATGAAGAGGAGCTCCAGCTGCCTGCCGTCTGCAGTCTAACACTAAAGCGAGTTTCTGCACCCGGACGCTTCTAAAGCAACAAACACTTTTTTAAAACATCAGACTTTTAAGCTGAAAGGTCAGCGTGCTTCCTCTGAATGAGACGTGTGCAGTGTGGTGCCCTCCGCTGGCAGCAGGAGGTAACTGCTCAACTTTTTAAAGTTCAAACCAGAACACTTGTAAATATAAATACGACTCTTTCCTAAGATGCACTCCTGTTTTTAGAGGCAGGTGACGGAGAAAGTGTTGCCTGAGTTTCATTCCCTCTTTTGCTTTGAGCAGATTTGCAACATTGTGTGAATTTAGGGACGAAGAGTCGAGTGTGTTTCAGTTGAAAATCTACAGAAGAAGACGCATTCAGTTTCCTACATGACAAACAGCAGGTGCTGTTGGGGGTCAGAGGTCATAGCGAATGTGTGAACACACAAAGTGACAGAGATGCTCTCTTCGCGTTTTTAGTTGGACTAATAAACCAAGTTAACTCACAAAACGTAAAGAAAGGAACATAATTTTCTTACTAAACAGAAAATACAACCAACAGCTCATCTTTCCCCTCCATCACTTTGCTTTAGACCTCATGTGAGAGTGCTGCTTTAGTGACACGTCGTTGGCAGCTGTAGTATTATTTTTTAGTTTGGGTCCCACAGCAGGACACGTGATGCTGAGGGTGTTTTATTTTTTATTTTACTAACTTTTGTGAATGAAGCAGAGAGGAGTAGGAAGCCTTACAGAGCATTATGTTGGTGTTGATATTATCACAGATGTTCACGTGGTTCTTGAAACGAGCCGATCGTGTCAGGTTTTTGCAGTGAAGAGAGTTTAGTGAATCTGACTTGAAACATTTGTACGAAAAAGTCTCAGTGTCCTCGGCTCTGCCGTCTCCCTCTCATCTTCAGACTAAAAGTAAATCTTGTTTTTGGCGACTATAAAATAAAGCAAACTGACGTCGTATTTGGGACAACTCCCGACGGATTCTGACTCCAGGATTTTTGTCTCAGATCTTAAATCATGATTGTTTGTAGAGATGCACCGATCCAGCTTTTTCAGTTTCAATTCCGATCCCGATGCTGTGGCTTTGAGTATCAGCCGATACCCGATACTGATCAGATACCGTGGTTGACCTAAAAAGCGATATACCTCTACATGTAGAACAGAAAAGACTAGAGGCATCAGGCATTGATGACTACACAGTCCCTTCCTGAGATAAAATGAAACAAGATGAAACAGATTAATGCAATGATGAACTATTTCTTTATAACAAAAATAAACAATTGTGCAACAGCAGTTGAAATAGTGTGAAATACCTCCACACAGCAGATTCTCTCCTTCGCTCCATGACGTATGACGTAGCTCACGTCGCAATAGATTTAAAGGGAAAGGATCGCCTCAGGTATAGGTTGCATTTTCCAATACACGATCCATCTATTTTGATGATGTCGGGGACGATATTCGATCCAGATATCGGTTCGGTGCATCCCTAATTGTTAGCTTAGTCTGCACAAGACTATAATATACCGACAACAGACCGAAGTCAGTACGTGAACACAACACAGAGATTAACAGCAGATTATTCACCTCCTGTTTGTAGAGAATATTTTGAACAAATGAACACAGAGCAGAGAACAAACACCTTGTCCAGACTGGACATGATGTGAACGAGCACATGTGAACATCAGGGGTCTCATTTGTGAACGTACGCACAAAACAAGGCCTGAAAGAGGCGTATGCCACTTCCCATGTAAAAGTAGCGATCTATAAAAACAGACTTGATGGGAGAAACTTTGACCCATGCCAACGAACATTTTGGAGATGGGAAATTTGCGATGCAGATGGCGAGGTGGAAGACTGATCGTAGAAACAGTAGAATATTTTATGCTGCGCGCCATTTTAGTATGGCTCCCATGCATTGTTTTATAAATGAGACATCAGATAGTTTCAGTTTTTCCCGCTGAAGATAACACTGCTCTGTGTGTCAGTGAACAGGCTGAGCTACGTGTCACTGAGGGCTGAACACGTAATGCAGATTTTATTGTAATTGTCTGACTGCAGCTTTCAAATCCCAGGAGATGTAATATGTGTTAAAAGTGTGTCAAAATACCATCTTAAATTAAATAATGTCATGCTGCAGAGACGTCCTGACCTACTCATCATATCCTTTGTTTGGCAGAGAAAATCACATCATAATAATCTTAATGTTTTTCAGAGAAAATGTGAATAATGATTTGAATATAATCATCCCCATTAACACTGCCAATCATATCCCAACTGTAATAACAGCAAATATTATTTTTTCAACGTTCGCTGCTCCTCCATCAGTCAGAATCAACACTGATGTTTCTGTTTCCCTCCAGTCAGCAGTCAACATGGATCAATGGAGCCATTTATAATGTTGAGGAGCAGCACATCTTAAATATCACATAGCACTTTCTTTGACAGTTAATATCACTCCTCGTGACACCGATGAAACTGTAAACACAGATCACTACAATTGATCAAACTCAAGAACACCACCAGAGTTATGATTAAATAACTGAGACACAAACTCATTTGCAGAAGGAGAGAACACAATAAAAGTCTCATCCTGTCCTCACACTACAACATTGCGTGTAGTATATGTGGACAGTTGTTTGCTCTTCATCCTCCAGAGTTCATGTGCTTGTTGTACGTTAGGAAGAGGTGAAACATTGACACACAGAAGAGGAAGAATAAGCCATGTACCTGCCAGCTGTCAGTCACTAAGAGCTGCCAGCTGTCAGTCAGTGAAAAACCTGAACAAGCCATAGCATGATGATGATGATGATGATGGTCAGAAGCTGTTGGTCAGAAGCTGTACTGCAGCATCTCACTGATGCGTCCTCAGCTCAAATGTTTTTCGCAGTATGGTGAAGACACGACCCGCCTGCTCTGCCTTTCTCAGCCTCTGATTGGCTTAAGCTGGAAATGTGTGTCAAAGGCCGTCCCCAGCACACACCAGAAGCGTCATACTGCAGCTTGTCAACAGTCGACCTCACAAAGTTGTTGTTACTGAAAGATCTGAACCTCTTCCACCTCTACGTTAGCCTAAAGTCATGTGTGGACAGCCACTAATTAAACTTGGTTTCTCACCTGAAGAGCCGAACTCCAGAGCGATGACTTGCCAAGAAGTATCTTTTAGGCCATTGTCTTTATAATGACGGGATTGTGGGTCATTAAAGGAAATGGCCACTTTAGAATGAAAATACATACTTACTGACCCTCATGCTGACAAGAAGTCCAGTGTAGTTTTTAAATCCACAAAACTCCTTCGGGGTATCGGAGGATAACAGCTAGCCGGAATAACAGATACACTTGAAGTGCATGGAACCCACATTTTGAAAATGTAATAAAACTCCGCTAATGCATTTCAAAAACGTCAGAACGGCTCGTCCGTCGTAATCCAAGTGCCCTGAAGACGCAGCATGCAAACTTGACTTGAAAAGACGTAATTTACTCCACATCATTTCTCACCGTGGTCAGTTAGCCTGCCCTGCAAACTAAAAAAATTAAAAAGAAAAATAAAAAAAAAAAAAAGAAAAAAAAAAAAAAAAAAAAATCAAAAAAAAAAAAAAAAATAACAAAAAAAAAAAAAAAGAATGCAGGGCAGGCTAACTGACCACGGTGAGAAATGATGTGGAGTAAATTACGTCTTTTCAAGTCAAGTTTGCATGCTGCGTCTTCAGGGCACTTGGATTACGACGGATGAGCCGTTCTGACGTTTTTGAAATGCATTAGCGGAGTTTTATTACATTTTCAGTGTGGGTTCCATGCACTTCAAGTGTAGCTGTTATTCTGGCTAGCTGTTATCCTCCGATACCCCGAACGAGTTTTGTGGATTAAAAAACTACACTGGACTTCTTGTCGGCATGAGGGTCAGTAAGTACTGTCTGTGTTTTCATGTAGGCGACTTTAAAGAGTGGTCTTTACAAGTGCAGTCCATTGACCACAGGAGCAGAGAAAAAGAGCTGCTGTGGGAGCTGGTGTGTACAAGCAGAGAGCAGGTGGGGGAAAAATGCATTTAATGCCGGGGGGCGGTGAGGCTGGAAATAGGACAGTGGCGTGAAGTGCCAACGTGCGTCTAGCCGCCACAGGTGTAGGGTTGTACATTGTATTTTTTGATATGCGCCATTTGCCGCCGGTGTGCTTTGGCTCTGACCCTGACATTCTTACCCTCACCAGTCCCACTCCTCTTTCCTAAACCTAACCACCCAACCAACAAAGGCAACAAGTACTAGCCAATCAGAGGAGAGTAAGATGGGTCACACCTTCGCTATCCTAGGAAAAGGAAATGTGCGTCCTCAGCAGCAGCACTGAGCAAACACCTGTGACGAGGTTTATGAATGCGTGAGCTGCTGCAGTGTCCTGACATCGTCAGCTGGATGTTATTTCATAAAAACCTTTTTTAAAGTTTTAAAACCTCAAATCTTTTCCCACATGGAAATTCTGACCAATCAAGAGCAGCTTTCTCACACAAGGCATTTGATCTGGTCCTCTTGTAAATGCTGGCGTGAGAACACGAACCAACTCTAGACAATTATACAACTTTGCAACAACATGAGTCCCTGATTCAGACCAAAGGAGACGACTCTAGGGCTGAAAGCACCCTAACAGTCATCATCATCCAACAGCATCATGGGAAACCTTCGCCCCAGTGGTTCCCAGTTACTGTCCCTCAAACATGTCGGTGCTGCTGTGAATTTAGGAAACTTCACTGAGAGAACAGGAGTGTGACGGTGCTTCATGTCAGGAAGGTTCAGGTGAAACTTCTCATTACAGGCAGATGAAGGATTGAGGAGCTGAGAGTGAAACCATGACTCAGCATGTTTTTGTGGCTTCAGTTTAACTCTTTAATGTCTTTGTTAGTGAAACCAAATGAAACCTGTCGTCATGTTTTATTAATGTACTGTGTGATGGAAGGATGGGAGCTTTCTGTGGAGAACAACAGACGCTGTGTTTTGGTTGGAATGAAACTCTTCTTCTGTTGTTCTTTAGTTTAGCTGAGTCATGTTATATTTAAAGAAGAAACACTGAGGCAGAGGAGCGGGCCTTAACGATGAAGGACTTCCTGTTTGAAACACTGACAGACTTTAGTTTTTATGTATTTATTAAAATCTGTGACTCACTGACGCGTCAACAGGAAGAACAAAACAAACAGCTGGATTTTGTTGTTGTTTACAGAGGGAAGTATTATTTATATTGTGTAACTCATGCACTGTAGAGCTTTGTGTCAGTCCTGTGCAGTAGATCTGACCTCAGACCAGTTCTTATTCCTTTAAAGGGGCATTTCACCTCAAACTGAGCGTCAGCTGGTTGTCTGGCTTTAGGACGTTCTGTTGATGCTTGTTTGTTTGTCTGTTTCCATGGAGACATCAGAGGGTTTCCTGTTGATCTGCTGCAGAGACGTTTTGCTTTCTTCATCTGATGTTTAATTTATTTTTGTTTTTTAGAAAAAGGGCTGCTTTTTAAGACAAATCATGACTGAGACGTTTGTCAGAATAAATGCTGTCTGTTCCCCAGAGACGTCGTCGACTGTCCTGTGTCTGACTCTGAAATTATTGTGTTGCAGAAGTTATTAAACCACAGCTCGTTAGATTTAAACGTTTACAGATAAACTTAAATTTATTGATTATGTTAAAGCATTTTCTATGAAATCATGCTGTGAACTTGTGACAACGTCCTTTGATAGTTTTTTGTTTAAAATAAATAAAAACAGGTTTATTTTGATGTTTATAATTAAAGTCTGGAGCTGAACAGTTTCTCACTCTGAGACTAAAATCATAAATTCAGCTGAAATATTTATTTGATCTGAATTCATGGTTCAGGAAACTGTGGAGTGTGTGTGTGTGTGTGTGTGTGTGTGTGTGTGTGTGTGTGTGACGATCGGTTTATCATATTTTATTCATTGTTACAATCAGAGAGGTTCAGCTCAGTTCATGGATAAATTTAATTTGTGCAGTAACACTCTTGTCCTTCCTTCCCTTCCTCCCTCCTTGTCTTCCACTTTTCCTTTCTATTCTTTCCCTCCTCCCTTGTTTTCTTTCCCTCCCTCCTTTCCATCCGTCTGTCCCTTTCCTTCTTCCTTTCCTTTTCTTCTATTCCTTTCTTCACTTCCACCTTTCCCCCATTCCTTCCCTCCTTCCTCCCTTCTCTTCCTTACCCTTCCTCCCACCTTTCATTTGTTCCATTTTTCTTTACTTTTCTTTCTTCCTTTCTACCTTGCTTTTTCTTCTCTCCTTCCATCCTTGTCTTCCCACCACCTTTCCTTCAATCTTTCCCTTTTTCTTTATTTCCTTCCTTTCCATCCTTTATTTTTTTGTCTGCCCCTCCTTTCTTTTCATTCTTCCCTTTCAACCTTGACTTTGCTATCGTCTTTCCCCCCTCCTTTCCTTTCCTCTATCCCTTTTTCTTTACTTTTCGTCCTTCCCTTCCACCTTTCCTTCATTCTTCCTTTTTTTAACTTTTCTTCATCCCTTCCCTCCTTCCTCGCCTTCCTTTATCATTTCTATTTTTTGTCTGCCCTTTCTTTCTTTCTTTCTTCTTTCTTTGTACCTTGCCTTTTCTTCCTCCCTTCCTCCTTCTCTTTTCCTTTTTCCTTCCCTTCCTGTCCCTCCTTTCCTTTCTTGTCTTCCACCTTTTCTTCCTTTATTCCTTTCTATTCTTCCTCTTCCCCCTCCTCCCTTGTTATCCTTTTCCTCCCTCCTTTCCTTCATTATTTCCCTTTTTTTTATTCCCCCCCCCTTCCTTGCCTTCCTTTCCATCCTTTCCTTTCTTGTCTTCCCCTTCACCCTTTTCTTTCTTTCCTTTCTACCCTGCCTTTTCTTCCTTCCCCTCTTCCTTGCCTTTTTCCTTCCTTCCCTACCTCCTTTCCCTTTCTTCCTTCCCTCCTTTTAAAGTAAAACAAAACTGAAAGCTTCCTGTAATAACAATTTTCACAAGAGAATGTTTCTGACTTCTGGAGGAAATTTTAATAATGTTTTTGTTTTGTTTTTTTTAATAATAATGTTTATTGCAAAGTGCTGTTACAGATTCAAACCTATAATTTAAAGATCATATTTATTTGTTATAGATACAAGTTGTTCTGTTAAAGCTGCAGTGTTCAGCGGCCATATTTCCCACGTCTCCCGGCTGCACCTGAACTGCTCATTCTGTCCACGTTAACAACAGCTGCTGATCTTAATTAGACGACTTTAATAAACCCACTCAGCTGGAACCTAAAGAGCAGTTAACATTTATTACACATCAAAATTAATACATGTTTAAGCAGGAACAGGCTGAACAGGTGTAGCAGGTATTATTCAGCATTACAGCTTTATTAAATATTTCACTTTAATATTTATAATCAGACTGAATGTGTGTGATTGACCCAGAGCAGGACGTGTTCACACACTGCAGGAAGAATCACTTCAACCATCAAAATAGATTCATATTTACTGTCTGACTAATTATATAATTATACAGATTTTATAAACTTGTATGTTTTCATGTGTAAAGTAATTAGAGCTGTCAGATAAATGTAGTGGAGTAAACTGTAGAAAGTGAACTGAAAATAATCAAGTAAAGTTTCTCAAACTGAGTAAATGTTCTTAGTTACATCCCCTGTATATAAAGTCACATATATATATATATATATATTATATGTTTATATTCTGTACCGTAGAGTTATTAGTGATGTGGCTCCACCTGTTGACTCCAGGTGTTTTCTACCTGCTGATTATTCAAGTCCAAACAGCACAATCATCTGTCAGCCTGTCTGTCCTGCTGTGGGCGGGGTCTCGTCCTCCGTCTCTTTGATCCACAGGAAGCCCACCTGGGTGCCGAAGTTCAGTCCGTCTCTGACGTGAGAGAAGAAGTCCTCGGGGTGACAGGAGGTGCACGGCGTCACACAGGGCCGCTCCGTCACCGTGTCATCATGGATGTGTTCAGGCAGGATGCCGCCGCGCTCGAGGAGAAGTCTGAGGTGGGAAAGCAACAGGCAATACTTGCTCACAATGCATTATGGGAACTGTAGCTCCAAATCTTGGAGCATGATTCGTCCCCAAACACAGGAATAGCAAGAGAAACTTTTTTAATATGAAGTAAAATCTGAAAATAAACCACATGTCCTCTCTCGTCCTCTGTTACCTGTTGGCGAGGCGGATGTTGACGTGCGGTCTGGCTGACTCTGGATCAGGGACACAGTCCGGGTGGATGCGGTGGAAGACGAGCGCCTGCTGTCTCTCCATAGTGTAACAACACACCCCCACCGACGGTCCCACGGCAACCAGGATGTCGCCCACCCGGCTACCAAACTCCTTCACCATGGCCTCCACTGTTGCCATAGCAACACCCATCAGGGTTCCTCTCCAGCCTGAGAATCAGTCGGTACATTTAGTGTCCCCTCTAACATCACTGAGATCATCTCAGACATTTCTGTAAATAACTAAATGAAGCATGAACCTGCGTGAGCGGCTCCGATGACCTTTGACACCGGATCGGCGAACAGGATCGGCATGCAGTCGGCTCCCGGAGCTGTGATAACCACCCCTGTCTGATTGGTTACCATGGCGTCGTAGCTCTCTGGCTCAGCTTTCCCCAAAACAAAGACATCACTGGCATGGTTCACCTGCAGGAAACACACCCGACAGGTTCAGGCAGGAAGCAAAGTTTATGGCTGCTCAGATATGAATATTTTCTAGCGTCCTTCGTCCTCTGTGACAGGAAATATATCTTAAATACAGAGGCCTGTATCTTTGGGTGGTTAAATGATCTTAAACACATCAATAAATTCATCCTGCATGTCTCACTGTAAATGTTTTTCAGTGTGTTACCCTTTTTTGAACTAAATTTAACTTCTGTGGATCGACCCTGTCATTACAAGGTGTACCCATTAGGTGGCAGTATACACAAGAGAAATGACTGTCCCTCATGTTGCAGGAGCACAATCAGCTGCCTCGGCCTGTAATCTTGTGTCGTACAGGATGAATCATGTGACCAAAGGTCAGTACCTTGACCTGACGCAGCAGCTGAGGGTTGAAACCAGCGTGGAGGGCCAGTCTCCGTTTGTTCTCCTGCACCACGGCCCCGGGGTCCCTCCTCCTGCTGCTGCTGAACAGGTTCAGGGAGGACAGAGTCGGGATGTAGGACACGCCGCCTCTACGGGTGCTGAAGCCATGACCGAAACAGTCTGAGAGACAGACAGTCACACCAATCTCCATTAAGAAATCTGTCAGTTTTACAGCACCATGGAGAGAACACATTGGTTTGTCTCATGTTATCCTTAAATTTGTAGATTTGGGTGAGTTTTTTACAAACCCACCAGTTGGGAACCACTGATGTCGATGACCTAGCATAAACTCTTACTGTGTGAATATACGTGACCGGACATAAACTTATTATCCTGACGTGACTTCAGCTAAATCATCTGGCTTGATGCTGGATAGATTTGGGTTTGTGAGGAGAAGCAACTGTCTGAATATCAGGGAAACAGCAGCTTAAGTGACGGGAAACACCTTTTACTGTGTATTGGAAAACTGTAGATGTGTCAACTGATACTGCTTGTTTGTCAGACACTACAGTGAACCCTCAAATGTCCAATCGTGTGTTTTGAATCTCTTTATTTTACAACAGAATTTGTCTCATGTTATCATTAAACTGATAGTTTCTTTACAGAGTTTGGTTTGTGTTCCTCTGATCTCATTCATCTAAATACCCTACTGGACACTGGATACTATGGCATCATTTATTATTAGATGTGCACTGTATATTGTGCTATAAATCATATTTCTGTGGTTCTTTCTTAACATCTGGAAGGAGATCACACATTAAAAGGTAACTCTGAGGCCAACTCTGCCTCACTTACAGTTTTTATTTATTTATTGTCACATAAACTTAAGAAATATTTTCAAGGTTGTCCTGTTGCATTGCTCGTGCATTAATCAGTTCTGGACACAATAGATAGTTAAATATTTTTAATAAATTGCCTAAATCAATATTTTTTTCCTTGAACCGACCTGGGATCAGAGTTGACTTGAGGACTGTGACTTGTCCCCTCTGTGCAGGAAGCTGCTGCAGAAACTTGGAGACTTCTTCTTCATGGACTCCTTCTCCAGGTGAGTCTGTGTGGGCGGAGCCTGCGCAGCTCGGACAGGTAACATGGTCCACCTGATAGATGAAGGTGTACACGGCGGTGAAGAGCAGCTCCTGGTAGCCCTGCAGCACGGCTCGGCCCCGCGGGGTCGTGAGGACTCTGATAGAGCTCAGATCCAGCTGATCCACAGTCTGTTTGAACCGGTATAAGCACTCCGCCGTGGAGTCCGAGTCCAACACGTGCACGCTCTTGCACGAGCTCACAAAGGCGTCAGAGAAGCCGTCCCTCTCCCGGTACCGTTTCCCGCACAGTAGGAAGACCTGCGGCTCCGCTGCGGCGGGATCCTCCAGGAGAGACGCGCCGGTGCATCCAGCACTGCAGCCGTGGATCAGATCCACCAGGACGGCCTCACACATCGTGACACACCAGGTAACTAACACACGCACACACACACAGAGAGTCCTGTTTAACCCGTGCTGCTCGCACGCGCAGCTTTATATAGAGTTACGTCACAGAGGAACATGTCTGACAGCCAAAATAACTCGGAAACTACAGAGACTGTCTACTTCCTGGATCGTGTCTCTGCAGCCTGGCTCCGCCCACAGTGGAAACCCCAGACACACACACACACATACACACACACACACACACACACACACACACACACTCTGGAAACTCTCATCTGAGCTGTTTCCTCCACATCTGCTGACTGAAGCATAAGAATATCCTCTACTACAGGAAAAGTATGTAAAACACTCTGTGAAAGTGCTGCATCCAAAACTCTACTGTGTCATTAGCTGAGCAGAGTTGCAGCAAAGTGTTTTCATTTTCTATCTCCAGTGTTTGGATAAATATTGCTGCTGCATTAATGTGTCATTTCCTGCTCTGCATGTTTAAAGTTGGGCTCAGTCTAACTCCTGTATATCCTGCTGGGTGATTTATTCTACAGCTATACATCAGATTCTATCAGATCAGAACAAAACTGCAGATACAAGGACTAAAAACTACATCTCACAGAGAAGACACAAGATGGACGCTGGTGCACGGGGCTGTGGTTCATTAATGAGTCGGCTAAATGCTGCAGTTATCTGTTGAGTTGCTGCTGAGACCTGATAAACAGACGAGATGACTGTGAGTCACACCAACATGAAACAGTTCAGAATCTGAGTTGAAGTCACAAACTAAAGGACCAGGGACCGGTTGCACAAAACACCTTAAGTTTGCTCCTGATGTATGACACTTAAGGTTTAGTTTTTCCTTAGCTGCAGACCTTACTTAAGGGTGTTGCACAGAATCTCTTAAAAGGTTCAAGAAAGTCAAGAAAGGGCGTTAAAGCGTTTACTGCACAGTTAAGTCGTACTGTTTCCATGGAGACTATTTGTTTGCTCTTGTGACAGCCCACCTGTCATCGCTATCTGATCCTTCTCATGCTGGGACAGGAACTTCTCCACAGTGTTCAGCAGACAGGCGGGGGTGTTTGAAACCTGCCGAATGATGCAGCACACCGTTGACTTGTGTCCATGAAATACCTCACCAATAAGTGATTAAAAAGATCCTGTTGCATAAAACTACAGAGCTTCAGAAAGTTGAGTGATCCAACTTCAGATGCTGAGACAAATCATAAACTGACCTCCGATCAAATTTAAAGTGCAAAATCAGTTGCTCATCATCGTCCTCATTTATCACCATAAACTCGGCCATGTTGCTGTTAACATGCAGTCAGAGGTACCTTATGTTTTTTCCCCTTACTTTGGTTGCTAAGGTCGTCTGTGCAACGGTTTAACAAACGTTAAGCAATTCCTTTAGATTAAGACCAAGATAAGGAGAAAAACTTCATGGAAATCTTGTGCAACTGTTTTTTCAAAGGAAATCTTAACTCAGATTTAAAGGATAATCTTAACTTAAAGTGCTTTATGCAGCTGGTCCCAGGGTCTGGATCTCGTAGTGACGAGTCATTCAGCCAGTCTGGATTTGAAAACGTTCCCATCAGAGGAGAGCTCCCGGTTTATACTTAAAAAGATAGTGCACCCAAAAATGAAAATTCAGCCATTATCTACTCACCCATATGCCGAGGGAGGCTCAGGTGAAGTTTTAGAGTCCTCACAACACTTGCAAAGATCCAAGGGGAGAGGAGGTAGCAACACAACTCCACCTAATGGAGGCTGACGGCGCCCCAGATTAAAACGTCCAAAAACACATAATTGAAACCACAAAATATCTCCATACTGCTCGTCTGTAGTGACCCATGACTACAGCTACAGGCTACAGTGAGGCTAAAAACAGAGTTCAAATGACGTTTTTCCAAACAACTTTTTATGTCGGGGCTTCAGCACACTTGGATCACTACGGACAAGCAGTATGGAGATATTTTGTGGTTTCAGTTATGTGTTTTTGGACGTTTAAATCTGGGGCACCGTCAGCCTCCATTAGGTGGAGTTGTGTTGCTACCTCCTCTCCCCTTGGATCTCTGCAAGTGATGTGAGGACTCTAAAACTTCACCTGAGCCTCCCTCGGCATATGGGTGAGTAGATAATGGCTGAATTTTCATTTTTGGGTGCACTATCCCTTTAAAGGAATACTTCACCCTCAAAATGATCATTTGTTTATCCTCTATTACTTATGTTGAGTTCATGAAATAACGTTTCCTCTCGTCCCTCCACGGTGAACGAAGAATCCAAAAAGATGAATAATCAGAGTCTCATTTATGCGGTCACATAATCAGTGTTTCACAAACACATGACTTTGACCTAAAACAATCTCATTTAAAACCTTTGTCTTCAACAGATGGTCCTCAGAGTTACTGCAGGGAGGAGCCATGTTATTTTTTTATAATTTAATTTAAGTTTTTGTTTTGTAAATTAAAATATGTCTCACAATATGAATGAACATACATCCAACATATTAGCAAACACTGTTACCTATGAATCCTCGCTGACACTAAATCACTGCACTTCTCCACGATGGTGAGGTGAGCGAGTTAGCTAACACGTACTATTGAAAAATTAATCCATTCATCGTTCGTAACCACTCATGTTAGGGATTGGTACCCACCTGAGAGGTGAGGTTCACCCTGTACAGGTCACCAGACTATCACAGGGCTCCGGCTGCGGCTATCACTGGTGCAGAAGCATAAAGACAAAGTTTTCTTCACAAGTTCAGTGTAAATAGTGAGTTCCTTTTACTTTGTGACTTTCACCTCTTGGTGTCTACAGTCACATCTTCAAAGCAGCAAAGAGCAAACAGGCAGGAAGACGAAGAGAAAAACAGGAAGAGGTCAAAGTCTGGTTTCTCAGATGAGAGATTATTTTATACTTTCACTCTGCTCGCTCAGGTGTGTCCTGGGTGAGCAGAGTGACTGCAGAGTCAGTTCCCTCCTGTCCACAGAGAGTCAGGCAGTTCCTCTTTTAATCAAAACTATTTTTGTGTAACAATTGCATGATTTCTGATGATGCTAAACATGACGGTGGTGTTATCAGAGACAGTGGGATTATGTTAGTGGAACACTTCCTTGTTAAAGGTCCAGTGTGTCAGATTTAGGAGGATTTAATGGCATCTGTCAGTGAGGATTACAGATTACAACCAGCTGAACTGGTTAGAATTCCTTCATTGTCCAGGAGCTGAATCATCCTCAGAGGTGTCTTCCTCTCAGAAACAAACACACCAGCTGATTTAAACCGGTAAAAACACTGAATAAAGACGTTTCATTTGCGATGCTTCTCAGTGCGAAGGTGCTGCTGATTACGAAAATGTGAATGTCCCTGTCTAGAGTCATTAAGTGAGTTTCCATTAACCCTAGAAATGTGCAAAACCTAAATATCGCAATAAAAAACTGGTGATGGAAACACCTACATTTCGAAAAAACTCAAATATCGAGAAAACGTTTTTACGCTCTCATGAGGTGGTCTTTCAGACGTGTTGATACAGAAGTATATCGCAAAAGTGTAATGCAAATATACGTCACCGGACATGACACTGGGGGTCACATGACCGGTTCAGGGTTCACTCATTCAAACTAATAAGGACTTTGCCTTTGGAATGCCACTCGCTCGCTTCGTCTTCGTCTTCGGTTGTAGACGACTGCAACAGCAGCAGTGGAAACCAAGATGATTGTTCCAGCTCACAAGAGATTTGGAATGCCCATCTTACTTCTGCAAACAAAGTGGAGTCTCGCGGGACGACATTTTACGAGAATTACGGCTCATATGCAAAACACCTTTTAATGGAAACACCTACAAGTCACAATTGTACTGTGTTGAAACTCCCTTGAATCTCCCTGTGTAGATATAAACGTCTCATTCTAAGGTGACAAAACACATTGATTCTTATTATCAGCTGTTTTTACACAAAAATTTAAATCCCTCACACTGGAGCTTTAAAGGTGTTTTGTGTGAGGGGTTGCTTGTTTGTAAGTCTCCCTCTGGTGCGTTTGAGGGACTTTTCGTGTGAGTTAATGAATCCAGATAAACACAAACAAAACTTTGACGTGTTTGAACATGTGCTTTTAAAACTGCTGTGTATTAAAGAGTTTTTTCATCACTTCCTGTTCTCACACACTCACTGACGCTCCTCTGCGGCTGCTGGAGTTCAGCTGCAGTGTGTTTGTGGTGTGTGGTATGTGTGTGTGAGTGTGTGTGTGGGTGACATTCACCTGATGAACTGAGGATGTAGGAATTTCCCAGGTTGTTTGTGAACCACAGTGTCAGCTCTGTAGTCTGCGCTCGGCACAATCAAACACTGTGACAGACACGTGTGCTGATCACAGGACGGTCAGAGACGGAGCAGGTTGGAAAAGCCAGAGAAGAAAAATGTGACAGTGAGAGAGATTTTAGACATCCAGTGGAAATTCATTAGGATTGAAACAGAACACAAACTTCCAGAGGTGATAAATACCAGAGGAAGATTAATTACATGTTCAAACCTCTGATCTGTTTTTCTGGTTCGTCCGCTTGGCTGGAAAATACGTTCACATATCAGTACTGTAAGCAGAAGGTCGAGGTACTTGTGCTTCACCAGAGTATCTCTGTTTTTACTTCTACTGCACCACATCAGAGGGAACACTGTACTCTTTACTGCACTACATTCATCAGCTGTAGTTACTCTACAGATTAAAATGTTTGCACTTAAAACATAATGCACATACAAAACGAGTATTAAACCTCATCTCTTGGCATCTTTCTGCAGTAATGCTGGTTATAAAATGTTTCTTTGACTGGTTTGTCATCCGTCCATGTCATGCAGCAGCAACTGAATGAATTAGGCCTTTGTCATTATGTGTTATTGTTATGTACTGCTGTGGAGTTAAGGTCAGACAGTTCATCTCATTTTATTTTCAGTATTGGCCTCCAGAGATGATTACCTACCCAGGGGTCTCATTTATAAAACAGTGTGTAGGATCCATGCTAAAAATGAGTGTTCAAACAAAAGCCAAAAATGGCATGCACCCAAAAAATGTTCAACAGTTTCTACAATCAGGCGTCTACCTCACCATCTACATCGCCAATTTCCCGTCTCCCAAATGTTCGGAAGCAGTTGCTCCCGTCGAGTCAGTTTTTATAGATCACAAAT